GTGGAGATGAAGGTAATCGGTTAGACTGTTGAATGTGATTTGTAAGAGGGTTTGGTGAAGTAATCTGTTAGACTGTTGAATGTGATTTGTTAGAGGGTTTGATCAAGGTAATCGGTTAGACTGTTGAATGTGATTTGTTAGAGGGTTCGATGAAGGTAATCTGTTAGACTGTTGAATGTGATTTGTTAGAGGGTTTGATGAAGGTAATCTGTTAGACTGTTGAATGATTTGTTAGAGGGTTTGATGAAGGTAATCTGTTAGAATGTTGTGTGATTTGTTAGAGGGTTTGATGAAGGTAATCTGTTAGACTGTTGGATGTGATTTGTTGGAGGGTTTGATCACGGTAATCGGTTAGACTGTTGAATGTGATTTGTTAGAGGGTTTGATGAAGGTAATCTGTTAGACTGTTGAATGTGATTTGTTAGAGGGTTTGATGAAGGTAATCTGTTAGAATGTTGAATGTGATTTGTTAGAGGGTTTGATGAAGGTAATCTGTTAGAATGTTGAATGTGATTTGTTAGAGGGTTTGATCAAGGTAATCTGTTAGACTGTTAAATGTGATTTGTTAGAGGGTTTGGTGAAGGTAATCTGTTAGACTGTTGAATGTGATTTGTTAGAGGGTTTGATCAAGGTAATCTGTTAGACTGTTGAATGTGATTTGTTAGAGGGTTTGGTGAAGGTAATCTGTTAGACTGTTGTATGATTTGTTAGAGGGTTTGGTGAAGGTAATCTGTTAGACTGTTGAATGTGATTTGTTAGAGGGTTTGATCAAGGTAATCTGTTAGACTGTTGGATGTGATTTGTTAGAGGGTTTGATCACGGTAATCGGTTAGACTGTTGAATGTGATTTGTTAGAGGGTTTGATGAAGGTAATCTGTTAGACTGTTGAATGTGATTTGTTAGAGGGTTTGGTGAAGGTAATCTGTTAGGCTGTTGAATGTGATTTGTTAGAGGGTTTGATCAAGGTAATCGGTTAGACTGTTGAATGTGATTTGTTAGAGGGTTTGATGAAGGTAATCGGTTAGACTGTTGAATGGGATTTTTTAGAGGATTTGATGAAGGTAATCTATTATATTGTTGAATGTGATTTTTTAGAGGATTTTATGAAGGTAATCTATTATATTGTTGAATGTGATTTGTTAGAGGGTTTGATGAAGGTAATTCGACAGAATGTTTCTATAATGTAAACGGTTAGACGATTTTGATGAAGATTATTTTTCAGACTATTTGTTAAAGACAAGTTGCTAGAGGGTTTAATGAAGTAATTTGTTAGACTCTTGATGAAGTTTATCTTTTGTTAGACTGTTTGGCGAAGGTAACTTATTGGACTATTAATTAAAATTAAGTTTATTTAACCTTGTGCACACACACACACACACACATACACACACAATATGTATGTATGTATGTATCTATCTATCTATCTATCTATCTATCTATCTATCTATCTATCTATCTATCTATCTATCTATCTATCTATCTATCTATCTATCTATCTATCTATCTATCTATCTATCTATCTATCTATCTATCTATCTATCTATCTATCTATCTATCTATCTATCTATCTATCTATCTATCTATCTATCTATCTATCTATCTATCTATCTATCTATCTATCTATCTATCTATCTATCTATCTATCTATCTATCTATCTATCTATCTATCTATCTATCTATCTATCTATCTATCTATCTATCTATCTATCTATCTATCTATCTATCTATCTATCTATCTATCTATCTATCTATCTATCTATCTATCTATCTATCTATCTATCTATCTATCTATCTATCTATCTATCTATCTATCTATCTATCTATCTATCTATCTATCTATCTATCTATCTATCTATCTATCTATCTATCTATCTATCTATCTATCTATCTATCTATCTATCTATCTATCTATCTATCTATCTATCTATCTATCTATCTATCTATCTATCTATCTATCTATCTATCTATCTATCTATCTATCTATCTATCTATCTATCTATCTATCTATCTATCTATCTATCTATCTATCTATCTATCTATCTATCTATCTATCTATCTATCTATCTATCTATCTATCTATCTATCTATCTATCTATCTATCTATCTATCTATCTATCTATCTATCTATCTATCTATCTATCTATCTATCTATCTATCTATCTATCTATCTATCTATCTATCTATCTATCTATCTATCTATCTATCTATCTATCTATCTATCTATCCTATCTATCTATCTATCTATCTATCTATCTATCTATCTATCTATCTATCTATCTATCTATCTATCTATCTATCTATCTATCTATCTATCTATCTATCTATCTATCTATCTATCTATCTATCTATCTATCTATCTATCTATCTATCTATCTATCTATCTATCTATCTATCTATCTATCTATCTATCTATCTATCTATCTATCTATCTATCTATCTATCTATCTATCTATCTATCTATCTATCTATCTATCTATCTATCTATCTATCTATCTATCTATCTATCTATCTATCTATCTATCTATCTATCTATCTATCTATCTATCTATCTATCTATCTATCTATCTATCTATCTATCTATCTATCTATCTATCTATCTATCTATCTATCTATCTATCTATCTATCTATCTATCTATCTATCTATCTATCTATCTATCTATCTATCTATCTATCTATCTATCTATCTATCTATCTATCTATCTATCTATCTATCTATCTATCTATCTATCTATCTATCTATCTATCTATCTATCTATCTATCTATCTATCTATCTATCTATCTATCTATCTATCTATCTATCTATCTATCGTCTTCTTCACTTTTACCGGGTTGCAGCCCAGTATCGTGGTTTAAAATATTTGTTTCGTGCCTCTCGCGTGATTTGAGTGACAGTTTTCTGGATCTTCTGGCCGTATTCAGCTACTCCATCTATCCATTTTTTCCTGGGTCTTCCTCTGACCTTTCTTCCCGATGTTCTACTGTAAAAGGACTTATAGGCAATCTGATCCGGTTGCATTCTTACTAAATGGCCAAACCACTTCATTCTCTGTCTTTCAATATGTTCCATGCATGCTCTTGTTCCAACTTTGTCTTTAATGCTGACGTTTGTGACTCTGTCTCTTCGTGTATTGTTGGTGACTCTTCGGAAACATCGCATTTCACACGTAGTTATTTTTTGCATATGTGATTTGTTCATTGTCCACGTTTGGCACTGATAACATAACGTAGGGATGAAAATGCTGTTGATCATCCGTTGTTTGGCTGGTAACGAGATCTTTGGATGACGAAGAAGTGGGGCCAGTTGGTAGTTGACTGCATTGGCTTTTTGAACTCTAGCCTGAATCTCTTTATCGAGTCTTCCATCTTCTGTAAATATGCATCCTAAGTACTTGAATTCTTGAACTTGTTCTAATTGTATGTCATTGATCTTTATGTTTACATCACTGTGTTTCTTTCCTATGGTCATTACTTCAGTTTTTGAGGTGTTTTTTTTTCATGTCAAATTTTGTACAGTTAGTGAGCAATGAATCAACGTGTTGTTGAGTTTTTTTTCTTCTTCTTGTAACAAACATTGGTCATCTGCAAAGAGTAGTTCATTTATAATATCTGTGTTTTGGTTTGACTCCTGTGCAATTTTATCCATATATGTGATATATTTTTATATATTTATGTATATATAAATGACATGGGCGGTGAGGGTGACTCAGTTTGCAGAAAACATTCTTGAAAGCGAAGGTCACCAGCCTAATGTTGACCTCCTTAATCATTGAGTGCAAATTGAATATGTCACCTTTTGCTCGATGCACCAATAACATGCAGAGCTCCCATAACATAACCTGTGTTTGTGATCCGACGAACTGATGTTCAGTTTTGTTTATTTAGTGCATTGTTTATAAATACTCTGTAATGGTTCTATTTCATATTCAAGACTATGCTAACCTATACTTTCACAAAAACAGTTTAGATGTTTTGGAAAGTTTGCTGACCAGTACCGTCATAACCGACAACTTCGATGTTTTTTTAAGTTTTATGACCTTTGCTGTCTCGATGAAGCAGTCTGATATTCTCTAAACTTCACGTCTCAATGAAGCATTCAGATATTCTCTAAACTTCACGTCTCAATGAAGCATTCAGATATTCTCTAAACTTCACGTCTCAATGAAGCATTCAGATATTCTCTAAACTTCACGTCTCAATGAAGCATTCAGATATTCTCTAAACTTCACGTCTCAATGAAGCATTCAGATATTCTCTAAACTTCACGTCTCAATGAAGCATTCAGATATTCTCTAAACTTACGTCTCAATGAAGCATTCTCAATGAAGCTTTACGTCTTTCAGCATATTCTCTAAACTTCACGTCTCAATGAAGCATTCAGATATTCTCTAAACTTCACGTCTCAATGAAGCATTCAGATATTCTCTAAACTTCACGTCTCAATGAAGCATTCAGATATTTTCTAAACTTCACGTCTCAATGAAGCATTCAGATATTCTCTAAACTTTACGTCTCAATGAAGCATTCAGATATTCTCTAAACTTTACGTCTCAATGAAGCATTCAGATATTCTCTAAACTTTACGTCTCAATGAAGCATTCAGATATTCTCTAAACTTCACGTCTCAATGAAGCATTCAGATATTCTCTAAACTTCACGTCTCAATGAAGCATTCAGATATTCTCTAAACTTTTCTCTAAACTTCACGTCTCAATGAAGCATTCAGATATTCTCTAAACTTCACGTCTCAATGAAGCATTCAGATATTCTCTAAACTTCACGTCTCAATGAAGCATTCAGATATTCTCTAACCTTTACGTCTTAATGAAGCATTCAGATATTCTCTAAACTTCACGTCTCAATGAAGCATTCAGATATTCTCTAAACTTCACGTCTCAATGAAGCATTCAGATATTCTCTAAACTTCACGTCTCAATGAAGCATTCAGATATTCTCTAACTTCACGTCTCACTGAAAGCATTCGATGATTCTCTAACTTTCAAAACGTCTCATGGAAGCAATTCAGATTATTCTCTAAACTTCACGTCGCAAGAGCATTCAGGTATTCGCTAAACTTCACGTCTCATGGAGCATTTCAGATAGTTCTCTAAACTTTCACGTCTCAATGAACATTCAGATATTCTCTAAACTTCACGTCTCAATGAAGCATTCAGATATCTCTAAACTTCACGTTCTCAATAGAAAGCATTCAGATATTCTCTAACTTCACGTCTCAATGAAAGCATTTTCATGATATTCTCTAAACTTCAACGTCTCACTGAATCATTCCGATATTCTCTAAACTTTACGTCTCAATGAAGCAGTCAGATTATTCTCTAAAGCTTCACGTCTCAATGAAGCATTCAGATATTCTCTAAACTTCACGTCTCAATGAAGCATTCGAGATATTCTCTAAACTGCAACGTCTCAATGAAGCATTCCAGAGTATTCTCTAAGCTTCACGTCCTCAATGAAGCAATTCAGATATTCTCTTAAACTTCACGTCCTCAATGAAGCATTCAGATATTTTTCTAAACTGCACGTCTCAATGAAGCTTCCAGATATTCAGCTATTTTCTAAGACTTCACGTCCTCAATGAATCATTCGAGTATTTCTCTAAACTTTACGTCCTCAATGAGCATTCAGATATTCTCTAAACTAAATTACGTCTCAATTAAAAGCTTCCCGATATTTCTCTAACTTCGCGTCTCAATGAAGCATTCGGATATTCTCTAAACTTTACCCTATAATTTATTACAAAATGCATTGCCTTCTTATTCATTCATTTTTCTAACCATATTTGTGTTGTTATTTTAAATAATGCTGGTTTAACATTATAAAGCACAATTTATTTCCTTGACTATTTCTCTGTAACTCGTTGACTTTATCACCACAACGTCTTCATCACCATACAAGGTAAATAAGTTCAGATCTTCTCAAGCGAAATTCCCAGCCACATTGTTCTTGAAACTGTATCTCACCTGGAAGCTAAGTTTAAACCCCTTTTGTTTCGTACCTGTCGTCTTTTTCATTGCTACAGTTTCCGGGCCCGTTTTTTAAAAAATCAAATTTATCATAATTTTAGAAAAAACTTTCATCAATCACGTACCAGAAGTCTAACAGATAGATGACTTACTGTTCAAACATTACTGTCTTCTTTCTCCTGGAAAGAAACCATACTTTCTCCTATTTTTTTTTCGTTTCGGTAAAGGAAAAATGAGAACTCTGGGTTGTTTGGGGAGGACGCACCGCCCCTG